AATGCAAAGCATAAGTACAGTAAAGATAAATATAAGTAAATGTATATAATTTATAAACATTTCCATACCAAATGCATCGGTATGGCAGAGACCGACATGAGATAAAGGGGCGTTGCCTAGTATATAATTACAATGGGGCAACCACACCCCCGGAATAGCTTTATTCTTCTTACCAACACTAACATATGTACAGTTAAACCACCTAAGAGCTTTTTTCTCCAACTTTCCTAACGCTCTCGACCGTATGGTCTCGAACATAATGTGAGGGTGGTAAAATGTCCTACGGACGATAAAATCATCAGGAACACTCATAAAATAAAATTCTTTCTTCCAGTTCTTGCAACTGGTCAATTTTGGCCACACGGTGCATTTCCCGGGAGCAGTAAAAAGAGACCACCATCCGGGTGACTGGCTATCTCTCGTTATCCAGTGCAACCTCCGAAATAAGTTCAAGGTAAGGGGAAAGTCCATAAATATCATAACCCAGACAAGAGAGACTATATTTCGGATGGTTGGAGGCGTTAACTGTGCAATTGATACATTCCAAGCCCTGAATATTTTTTCAATATAGTGATGGAGTGGAAACCGTAAACCAAATTCGAAATGTTTGGCATAGACAACAATGTGGCCGGGAGGGAAGTCCAAAGCCGTTTGACCTTCGCTTGGTAATCTGAGTTCATAGCCGTCAGGTTGACAGTAGAAGCGTTTACCATGTTGACAATAGTCTTTCTCAGTGGCTGTCTGCAACCATATCAGATCCACAACAGACTCAATATCTCATAACTGCTAGGGATTTCTTGGGGTTCTAGGTATTTCGGATCATCCTAATCTGAATTGTATTCCTCGTCGAGACACTCTTCTTCTGCGATCTGAGCAGCAAGATTGAAGCCGGCCCGAATTTCCTCGTCGGTCTCGTCATCTTCTTCCTCATCATCTTCCCCTTCCCCAAGCATTTCCGATTCCTCTGCATCGTCTTCATTACCGATGCTTTCACCCCAACTTTCTTGTCGTTCCAAGCTATCCTCAACTGACAGGATATCTTCTTCTCTGATATCCGAAGCTTCATGCCCAGGATCAACATCTTCTTCCTCACCAGAGCGTCTACTGCTCTCATCAACCTCACGTTGGTAACTGGTGTGTTTCGTTCTCGGCATCCTGTCAATATTAGTGTCGTATTGATTAAACAAATCCAAGTTTGACCTCAAATGATAACGAACGCTAATAGGCACAACGCCGGCAATCTTTGTGTCCTCTGGGATATCGGGGTTGATAGGACGCAAAGCCTTCTCGGTGTCAGCCAGAAACTTATGACGGTAATAAGCTTCTCTTTCTTCTACAGAAGATAAGGGTGTACAGAGTTCAGCCTCATTGGCTTTACCTGTATTCGCATGCATTCCAGAACCAGACATTTACAAATAATGAAATAAACGCAAAATCTACTTAACCACAAACCAGTGAGAAATCGAAAAGAAAGTTAGGGTTTTTTTACCTCTTTTGAACTCAACTCTTGAAAGCGTAACTCCGGAATTAAATGTCCTTCGTTTACAAACACCGGTCTAAAAATAACTGAACAAACCTTCGACAAATCGACTCCTGAATCGCAGAAATATGTGTGGACTACAAGCGAAATGAAGTGGAAATTTTTCGAAATTTTTTCGCAAAGAAAGATGAAGGGGTTAAAAGTACGAAATTTGCTATTTATATTGTCCAAATGAAGCGGTTAATGTGACATTTACTGCATGCAATCCAACGGCTGTAATAAAACGCCTTTTCAAAACACCCTACTTTGATGACTGACATGTGCCCCATTACTTTATTACATTTTCCCGCCAAATCTTAGGGAAATATTTCAAACGAGGGTGAAAATGTATTAACTCATATTTCCGGTTTTCGTTTTCAATTGAGCAAAGCCTATCGGCAATTAGCTCACTTGGGGGGGCAAATCGTAGATTTTTTCGTTTTCAATTGAGCAGAGCCTATCGGCAATTAGCTCACTTGGGGGGAAAATCGTAGATTTTTTCGTTTTCAATTGAGCAAAGCCTATCGGCAATTAGCTCACTTGGGGGGCAAATCGTAGATTTTTTCGTTTTCAATTGAGCAAATCTTATCGGCAATTAGCTCACTTGGGGGGCAAATCGTAGATTTTTTCATTTTCTCATTATTCTTTCTTGGTATATTACGCAAAGCAGCACAATGTTCCATCACAAGTGAGCACGTTAGTTTTACTAACATCCTCACTTGGGGGGCTAGTTGTACGGGATATATCGGTAGCATCCTTGATAAGCCGGTAAGTTGTACGGGATATATCGGTAGCATACTTGATAAGCCGGTAAAAGAGTGTTGTGCAGTTTTAGCCCTCGTTAATCTGTAAATAAACCATGTCCTTACCGGCATCACTCTATGCCACATGGAGAGCTGCTTCTCGTCACGTAGCATGTCCCTCTAGCACGTGGAGAGTTGCTTGGGGCCGCGTAGGCACCTGCTGCCTATAAGGTCGGTGTGCCAACTATATGTATAGGTGACACCTGCTTGGTTGTGTTTCTATAAATACCCAAGCAAATCCCCATTTCAAAGGTAGAATCTCTCTCTCTCTCTCTAAAACACTTTCTCTCTCTTATTTCACTTTCTTCTCACAAAGGTACTGACTTTAGCATCGGAGTGGTTATTCCCGGATAACCCCCGGGCTAGCTAATCTGTATTGGCTGTGTAGGTGTGCAATTGGACGGTAAACCATTACCAGCCCTCGGACATTGACGAAAGCAGAATTCAGCAGGAACAGTATGTCGATATTATCAATTATGCAAAGCATTTTATTGTCAACATGATGAATTGATGATGACATAGTATAAATATTTGTAGCTAGGCTCGCGTCTTTTCATCATCAATTACTATTTTAATTCTCTAACATGCCGCTTGGGTTATTATTCCCACACATGATAACTGAAATGTAAACTATCAAGTTTAGTAAAATAAACTTGCTAGCTCACAAAAGCATGGGAGTATGGAAGTGCATGAGTACACTTGACGCATGTATCTCACTATTTACAATAGTTTATTCTATCTATGAAAAACAATTGTATTATTATTATTATTATTATTATTATTATTATTATTATTATTATTATTATTATTATTATTATTATTATTATTATTATTATTATTATTATTATTATTATTATTATTATTATTATTATTATTATATACTAGTTTTGTGCCCGTGCGATGCCCGGGTTGTTTATTGAATTTTAAGATATATTTTTAATTTATATGTCAAATTTTAAAACATATTATTGATACAAAATTAGTTAAGAATTGATGTGTTTTTGTGACGATTTAAACTTGTAGACATGTAATAATGACTAATAATAATATATTGGTGAAAAATATTTCTTGACCCGTAACCTGAAATAATGACCCTGCCTAAAATGATAGGTAACTCGACCTGATTTACAGGTCTACACACAGTAATAAAATTATATTAGATTGTGAAGTATATTATTTTAATTGATTAGAATATATTATAAACAATGGATGTGGTACATTTTGAACTAATTCCTTCGCTCCAGAAAAATATTATGATACAAAAAATAAATTTATATGATAATTTATGAGAGTTATAATCTAATTAATTTTTTCAATAAAATTATAATTTAATTTGTACTTTATTAAAAAAATAAAATTCTATGATAAAAATATTGGTACTTTATCAAAAATAAAACTCTAAATTAACAATTTTATCCTAAAATTCTATCCAAATTTGATTGAAATAAAATTCTAAACTAACTTTTTTATCCTACAAATTGAATTCTATATAACTCTATCCTATGTGGCACGACACTTGGCAAAAAGTTGGAACGCCAAGTGTCACTACCTCGTCGCCTGGCTAAAAGTTTAGCTTTATATATTAGTTATATGTTACATGTATACATAGATTTAGGATCATGTGCAAACTAGCTTGAATAATACGAACTGAAAACTCATCCGAGCTGTCCATCACGTTAGATCTGACGGTCTACACTTCACCCGCCTCATTAAGGGTAATTTTGTAATTTCTTCAGGTGAATGACCTCCCTTCCAACTCATTCGTTGCTTATTTTCTTTCTCTCTCTTCTTCAGCATTTTCTCTCTCTATGTTCGAATTCGCTCAAAGGCGATTTTTCGCGATTACAATTCTTCGCTTGCGGCAATTGATTAATCAGATTCTTTGATTTCGATCTTCTAGTACTTCGTATTCTTCGATTTTTGTTATTCATTGGTAAATTTCTTGTTTTTTCTATAATATTTCGATTTTAAATCCGATTTTTGGGAGTTTGATTGCAAAATTAGGGTTTTTCGAATCATTTGTTTAATTGTTTGTGATTTCGGTTGAAATATTAGGGCATTTTCATCATCTCAATATTAATTTTGATTGTGGTTCATCCTCTGCATATGCCTTTACACCTTGTTGATCTCTTCGTCAAGTAAGCTATTTGTTTGGTTTTTTGAATTCGATTGATTTTAGAGGTTTTGTTTAATGTCAAAAAATAGGTTTTAATCAAATTTTCTGTGTTTGGTTAGGTTTTCAATTGAATTTGTCTATGGTCATTCTTATTTTTGGTTGATGTTTTATTAATTTTGATTCTATTGCTGGATGTTTGAGAGGTCATATTGTAGCTTGTAATAAGCTAAAACTAGATGGTGAGCTAAAACTAGATGGAGATTAGTCAATTTTGCAGAATTGGATTCGTCACTGCCACTTCATATGATGCTCAATCCCTAGTATCATTTATGGATATTTTTTTTTGTTATTATTGAAGCTAATAATGATTTGAATGATATGTTTATATTCGTTTTGACCCTTTAATAATTGAATACAATTGGATTTGACAAAGGAAATGCAGTGCTGCTGCTACAATTAATTTTGATTTGAGAGGGAAGCATAGATATGATCAATAATATTGATAGTACTGGTATATGTTAACTTTGTGCAATTGCCATGTAATTATGTTCTTTGTTTGTTGAACAGAGGAATAGTTCAACTATAACTTTTTGTAGGGGAAATTTACTGAAAAATTGATGAAGAGAAGTTAAGTTGAACAGGCAAACTAAATTAACCAATTGAATTCAAAGATGAATCATATTATTAATATGATATATTGAAACTTTAGTAAACTGGATTAAGAAATGATTACATTGTAGCAACCATTAGGTGGGGCAAAATACTCCGTATGAATTTTTAAAGTAAAACAAGCAAGCAGATTACTGTTAAATTTTATTAATGACTAATGATTCAATATCATTTTAAGCTTGACCTAATGATAAGGATTATACCTTCTAAGCTTGAATTGGGGGTTCAATCTCCACTAGAGGCATTTTGAAAGTCTTGGATCCCATACCCATCCCTCCACTTTCAAAGTGCTAGCCCCCTAAGTTACTAAAATAGGATGAGTAAGCAGAGCTTTGTCCTGGATAAGAAAATTCTTATTAACTAGTCCAATATATTCAAGATTTGTATATGGTCCAATTCCATGCAAAATGATAAAATTTTAAATCTATACCTTCAGAAATTGCAAATTCTATTGGTATGTAGATTGGAATGAATTAAATTTTCAGTCTTTTATTGTAATTGTTGTCAGTAAAAATTTACTAGTATGTTTTTGAAGGCACTTGGCTGATTTGATATGTAAGTTTTTTACTCATGGATGTCCTCATTTATAAAGTGAGTGGTCTTTTGAGAGTTGGGATATTGTTTTGATTGGTAGCGAATGGAGTGAGCTTTTTTTTTTTTTTTTTTTGGTGCTGCAGATAGTCATTAATATATCTTGCTCTTGTTTTCATGAATTTCTTTGTGATCTTGTGATGTTTGATACGGTGAACCTCTTAGCTGTTGTAGGGGACTGCACATACTGATGTGGTTTCCTTTCTACTAGATATGTAGTTTGGTTGGCACCATATTTTTGTTTGGGGAGGGTTGGGGCCTTGGTGGATGGTGGGGGTAGGGTGGAGCAAAGCCTTTCATGTAGAAAGATCCTGATCTCCTCTTTGTTAGTTCATGTAGTCATTGACTGACTCATTGTGTAGTTTTTTCTAGGCGTATGATGGTTATATAGTTCAGGCTAGTGAGCTTGCCTTATAATTGGCTATCAAGTTCTATATTCTAGGGTGCTAGTCTTACAAAACTATTTTGATTGAATTTTTATAACTGATTTTCGTGTTTCCTTGTTGGTGTTTGTTGCTTTGACTTATATTTCCTTTTTTTTGAATAAATTGCATGTAGCTATTGCGTGCTACAGTTGTAAGTGTTGCAGAAATTCTCAAAAATGGTGGGTTGGCTGTTGAGAAGAGTAATTACTTTCTTTTATTGAGAACTGATGTATAATACACATATTTGAGCTCATGATAATCTAAGTTGGTTTAATTTTGCAGAGATCATGACATCTACTGTTGATATAAAGGATGATCAAGAGGTCGGCCAGTCCAGAAGGCAAAGGTATGGCTGGTTTTTGCTAGCTCTCTTTTCTATGAACTATTTTACTTTAATATGCATTGTTATGCATGAATTCGATTTTTTTGGTGAACTAAGGGCCTGTTTCACCTAACTCCTTTCGTGTGCTTAGTACCTTCTTCTAAATTTTAACTTATCTAAACGTAATTGGCTCCTGTTATTATTTATTTTTCGCTTAAAACTTAATATAATAGCCATTATTTGAACTTATAATTCTTGAAACTCATTTTATTGAGACAAAAAGAAATAGGCCTAATCGTAGCTTGTACTCTGATTTTCTGATGATTGTGAGTCTATTTTTCAGATAGAGATTTTACTGGAGAAGTCAGCGGATTTTAACCAAATCATGGCAGCTGCTGCCGAGGAAGCTGAGGTAGCTGCGGTTGAAGACCAGAGTTGAAGCAGAGGTTTTTCTTGTTTTGATAGGGATTTGTTTTGGTAGTAACCAAGATTTTAAGTAGTTGTGTTATTTCATTATATATGTCTAGGAATTTATTTTTCAAATGAGCATGTTGTCAAGTATTTTTTCCCCCATTAGTGTAGTTCTTAGAAAAGTTGTGATCCTGAAATCAGTTAGTCATGTCAGAATACTCTAAATTCAGTTGCCTGGATGTAATCTTTTTTTTTGGGTCAATGAGATTGTGGGACATAATTTGTGCTTCTTTATAGTCTCTTCTCTCTTGCAAGTCACATGCCTGCTCTTCCGCTCACTCTTCTTTGTCTTCCTCTGATTTCAGAAGTATAGAAGGTGAATTTCTTTTCTATTTAGTTCAAGAAATAATTTATTTACTTAAATTATTTTGAATCTACTTTTATTACTAGAAATTCAAACTCACTTATCCAATGATTAAATATATGAACATGTAGATTAATTAACTCAATTATCTAATCAAGCTCACTTTGAGTAAATATTACCTAGTTTTAAGTTAATATTATTTACTTTTGTGTTAATATTAATTCTAGTAATATACTTTGACGATATTTGATTTACTTTTTAGTGTTTTTTATTTACTTTTAAGCTATTATGATTTACGTTTGTGTACTTTTTATTTACTTTTGAGTAATTTTGTTCAACTTTTAATGTGGAATATACACTAGCCTACTAGCTCAACAGGTAGAGCATTGTGCGAATGCACAAAAGATGTGGGTTCGAATCCCACGTAGGTTTGTTTATTAGATGAAACTATTTTTTTTTTATTCACTCTAATTTTGAAATTTTCATATTTACTTTTTGAATATTTCGATTTACTTTAAAGTCTTTTTTATTTACTTTATATTTATTTTATTTACTGTAGAGACCATAAAATTATTTTTTATTCACCCCACTTTGAGATTTGGTCATTTACTTTTACAATATTTTGATTTACTTAAAAGTATATTTTATTTACTTTTAGAGATAACCTATATAGGATTCGAACCTACACCTCTATGCATATGCATATTGCTCTAACACCTGAACTAATAATAGGTTTACTTTAAAGCTTTTTTTTTTTTTTTTTTTTTTTTTACTTTAAATTCGATTTTATTTACTAAACAACTTATCTAGAACTAACAGTCATAAAAACTCTAACACAAACCCAAGCCTAGATGAATCAAAGACAAAAGAGGAGCGGGAGAATATAGGTTTACTTTAAAGTTTTTTTTAATTTACTTCAAATTTAATTTTTTTTTTAACTTTTAGGATAACTAAGTTTTTTATTGCATACAAACTTGTTAATTCCAAACAGCTTATCTAGAACTAACAGTCAGAAAAACTCAATCACAAACCCAAAGTTAGATGAATCAAAGACAAGAGGAGCAAGAGAACACAAGCATCTATTAGAGTATCCTATCACCTATAATTTAATCCCATCATGACCATAAACAGCAGAAATTTAGAACCATAGAGCCATGCCTTCAATGTCTATGCTTTCCTTTCAAATCATCTCCCTCTCCAATTTCATGGACACATTCCAACCACTAAGAGAAGAGAGGTCATGAGACCATAGCAAATTTAGACACTGCTTATAACAAATTATTATTAAAATATGCCATCAATTAGAATACATATAACCATCAGGAGTCATTTCTGCAAGTGTGGAAAACATGCACCAATATCATGAATTACTTTTTAGTTTTTAAAAAAGATGACAACATTTTTGAAGTTTTTCGATTTAATAAAAAGTCAAGGCCTCCAAACCCAATTTATTGTTTGTATATTTTAGAGCTAATTTGATTTACTTTTTAGTTTTTTTGATATACTTTTGAGATTTTTTGAATTACTTTAGAATGTTTTGTTTTTCTTTTTAGAGGTAACCTATGTAGGAATCGAACCTACATCTCTATGCATCCGCAAAATGCTGTACCACTTGAGCTAATAGGTTCACTTTAGAGTATTTTTTGTTCTCTTTAAATACTTTTTTATTTACTTTAGACAACTGATATAGCAATCTACACTTTCCAACCTTATTCATCTTTTGTATTAAGAGTTGATAAACCATAACGCTAAACCACAGTACACCACACAACACCATGATACCAACAGAATACCTTCTGAATGATATAGATTAAGAGTTAATAAACCCTTCTCTCGATTATCTTTGCAACAAGAAAATCGGAATATGTAGTGTACGTAGCATTACGATAACTCTGTTCATATTTCAAGCTAGAGACTTATTTAGTTTACTTCTAGGGAGATCTAGTTTACTTTAAAACACATTTAATTTACTGATTCAAGGTTTGTTTGAAACATCAAAAATTCTAAAGTAAATTAGAACTGACAATGATTGAAGAAGCTGCAAACAAACAATGAAAGTAGTCATTGACGCACCAAATGAAAACCATAAGCTCTTTGTGTTTTCTACTTTTAGACAGGTTCAGTCAACTTTATATGATATCTAGTTTACTTTAGAAGGACACAAATTATATATATTTAAGGCCACTTTAAATTTAAAACTTGGTATTCAAATAGTTGTGCAATGAAAAATTGGAGAAATTAAGAACAAAGAATATAAAAAAATGTAAGAAAGACACAATGCACTAAGCAAACCAACACAAGAGTACACCTTCAAGAGCTTCACATTCTAACTCAACGTGTTTAAATCCAAGCCTCTTAGCAAGCCTCACTTCTATCCTTGATACCAAATCCCCAGCGTGCTTTACAGATTCAATAGCAGATTCCTTGCGAACTGCCACAACAAGCAGCTTCCCCTCCACATCTCGAATGAAGACGCCCAAGTCCTATGCCAATCCCCTCCGTAACTGCAGCATCTGTGTTCACTCTCACCCTCCAATCAGCCTGATGCACCTATTTCTCATGAGATAAAACAAATCCCTCTCCTGTACTCACCCGAACAGACCTAGCTCCCTAGGAGACATTAGAGACATAGAGTTAATATCACAGAAAAGTGATAACAACAAAATCACAAAAAACAGTTTATGATTTTTATTAAGGTTGCTATCTTGCCTGCCAAGGCTGCTACTGCAGCTGTCGAGCTTGCCAAGGCTGCTGCTGTAGCTGCTGGCACTGCCAAGGCAGCTGCTGCAGCTGTTGGCCCTGCCTGCCAAGGCTGCTGCTAGTAGCAGAAATTCCCCGAAATTCTGCTTAAGAGAAACCCTGGCAGCTTCAGCCATAGCTTGAAGGAGCTGTTTCAGCTTTATCAATGAGCCCACAAACACAACTGGAAGTGATTTCAATATCTTGTCATATGATTCAACAGCTCTAGCTATCTCAAAGTGGCTTTGAAAATCAATGTCAATTATCAAGCGTTCCGTGCTTCCATCATTCAAGTAATTCACCACATCAATATATTCATGGCCACCTTCATTAAGAAAGGAATAAAAAGAATACAATCAGTTCACGTCTACTACACTTATCACTAAGATAAGACCTCTCCAGAGTCCACTCTAATAAAATCTTTTTCACATAGAAGACACTAGACAGATCCCCACATTGTCTGATAGCTAAAGATTTATTGTATAGATTATAAATTATTAGAAACCTCTTTATGTTTGAAGAAAGCACACTCCAAATTAAATATGAGTATTTGACAGACAACGGCCACGCTACAGACAATTTTAACTCACAACTCTTACATAATATAGCACACATAGTTACAAAAGTTCCAACTTCTAGCCAGCAAATTCTATCTCTCTTTCCCCAACATTCAACATGAACTGAATGAAATTTAGCAAACACTAACAATGAATTACAAAGGCTAACGTTAACAATATCCAACAGACACACGTGTACTTTCTCTTAACATCCTAGATGCTTATAGTGCACAGTTATCAGCAAAGAGGTTGGACATTCAAACAGTTTATAAAAAGAATAAATTCAAAAATACTACTAAAAGTCTAAAGGATGTTCAACAATTCCATAGAGCTCCATGAACTGCCAAAATCGAATAGTTAAGGGATTTTATTAAGCTAAAACTAATTGTTAATTCTACTTATAATTGCAGTATATGTTAACTTAATATAGTGGTTTAGATTATGCTCGAAAGATGTGATTGTATAAGAAATTAATTTAAACTCAATCATATTTGTTTGCAAACTCCCCGAAATTCACATATATTTGAGCAAAAAAATCGATAAGTAAGATTAAACAACACATAATTCACAATCATATATCACAATTTTTGCAGTAAACAATTAAACAACATCAATTTTTTTTTAATTACACCTATTTTGAATTCGATATGCATCTCAAGTGAATTTACAGTAAAATATTGACAAATTATAACAAATATATGGACAAATTTTCTGAAATACAAAGAAAATCGAAGACAAGATATGAATATGACATGATTATTGTTGGGAAAAAAAACCTAAAAATCGATTTGTACCAAATTCACAATTCTTACCTCAATAATTGAGAAATTTTGCAACGAATCTAGAAAATTATCGAAATAATATGTAAATTGTAGCAAATTCAAAACAAACAAGTTGTTAATTGAGGTAAGCAAGAAAAAAAAATGGTGGAGGAAAACAAAAATGGCGTCCGTAAGAATGAAAGAGAAAAGAGCGGAGGAGAGAGAATTCGTGTCTGAATAGACCCAGCCGTCGATCTAGCACGCGGCCCTTATTAGATCCAACGATTCTGATCAGTTTCTAGTTCCTATTTTTAGAATTGGTTCTCATTATAACCTGGTCTATATACAATATATATATGTATACTTATAGACCAGGTTATAATGATAACTAGCTCTATAATAGGAGCTAGGAACTCATCACAGCCGTCGAATTAAAAAATGGGCGGATCGGATTATTTTAGTTTTTAGAATCGTGCGACTGGCTACTTTCTCCTCCGATTAATCTCTCTCCTCCATTGAAGCTAGTGCTCTGAATTTCCATTGAAGCAATTTTCGAGCCTTTTCTACACCATTGAAGCAACTTCTGCGGTAAGATGAGTTTTTTTTTTTTTTTTTTTTTTTTTTTTTTTTTTTTTTTTGTCTTTTTTAAATTAACGAAATTCAATTTCATTATCATTGGATTAATTTTTAATTTTACTGTTAGTATCATCAATTTAGGGTTCTATATAGTGAAATTTGAACATTTATTTCATAATTATGAGGTTACGAATTAATATAGCAATCGATTTTTTTGTTAAAGTTCCTAAACACCTAGATCTGAAAACCCTTGCATTTAAATTTATTACTTTGCATATCAACTATTTGATGAAA